AATTTAATTTTTTCCCCCCCCCCCCCCTTCCCAATATGCTGTAAGGACTTAACCTTAAATGATGTCTCTTAAAGGAGAACTATGAGGTGAGGGATTTTCACTCATACTCACAGTTCTAGCCGACCTGTGACAATGAAAGGTTTTTTTTGTATGTTTTTGCATGTAGCTACTGCTTGCTAGCAGTAGCTATATGCAAAAACACGCGAGGGTTTAATAACCCTTAAACCCATCTAACAGTTTTTGTATTTCTCATCGACTCCACTGGTTAGACCTTTGTGCATGTGTACTTAGGTCTGCAGACCTGCTACAACCCTAACAATTTGTTTATTTTCCCTCTGGAGAATGCAACAGTAAGATCGAGGACACCCAAAGATGAGCAGGAAGAAGACTAACCGCCATAGCAGGGAGATCTCACCAGCACAACCCTATCTAGATATAACATCAACTGAAATGTCACTTTAGGACAGAATAACTTAAAGAATAACTCCGGAAAAATACAAAACTTACCTTTGCAAGAGTTTACTCATTTTGCCTAGGGGACGCAGAGCAGTTTTACTCACCTGATTCTTGGTCCCGTGGCAGTCAGCGGTCGCCTCTCTCGCTAAATCCTTCGACTATGGAATGCCCCATGGTGTCCTCACATCTAATGCAGGTCAATGGAGCCCAGGGAGAAAAGGCTGTAGGAACTTGTCTAGCAGCCCAGTAGGGGCTGGCAGGATTTTATAGTGGATACAAAAATACTGTTTTTAGCTTAAGTGTAATTCATGTTGATTTTCTTTGCATTGATACAGGAGGATAGTCAACGACACATACCGCACAGATCTCTGTCTGCTGTACCCTCCCTTCATGATTGCTCTAGGTATGCAGAACTGCCAAAGATCTGGCTTATTTCCTAATACATGCAGTTTGTTCTGGTTAGCAATACATTCCACAATGTGTGGGCTGGTAGCAGATAAATGCATGTTTGAGAGATGTCTGATGGACTCATCCGTTCTTAACTTGACAGGCTGTTTTTTAGTTCGAGGCTCGCTGAATTGGCTCTACTTTTCTGTCCTAGGACTAGTATGAGGGCTGTAAGAATGTGGGCTTCAGCAAAAAGCTTCATTTGGCTTCCCTTTATCATGGGAAAAAATGCCTTCAATCTAATACTTATGACTGAAACAGCTAGGTGCTTAGTGCGTGGTTGCCTTTGAATAGCTAATATGTTGTGGTCCAACTTCTCAAAAAAGAGTTTAGAGTGAAAATAGAAATACAGCTACATTTGTCCATTAAGTTTACACAAAAATTCACTAAGTTATGTCAGGCTGTCATTTTAGGAGGAATTTTGAAATGGAGGTATTGTGTGTAGCACATCAATAGAGAAGTACAGCCGACCCCCAAAAATTTGCGGGAGTTACGTTCCTAGAGTACCCGCGAATTGTGAAAAACCGCGAATTTTGAATGTGGTCAAAAAAATGCCTATAAATGCCTTTTTTTATAGTGTATCCACAATGCCAAGGCAGCTTCCATCCTGACAATATTCATATGTCTTACAGTCGTTACCTTTTTGGCAATATAATAGAAACTTACTGATACGGTACTCCTGATCGCTGCCTCGTTCTTCTTTTATGTAGCGTACGGTGCTTTCGTGGATGCCATAATGGCGCACTACTGAGGCATAACTTTTTAGTTCCCGAAGCAAATCCAGTAGTTCAACTTTCTCCTGGAGTGTCTTAAACTTCTTCTGGCGCTTAGGTTCATTGCCAGAAGCCTTAGAAGGTGCAGGGCGTTTGGGCGGCATTTTAGGGCTTGAAGAACAAAACGAAAAACACGAGAACACTCAGCGAAACACTCGAGATAGCTACACGCGGTTCATATTTGCGGTTTCCGCATACAATTATTAGTTAGGTTCTAAGGAGAAATCCGAGAACGACTGAGGCCGCAAACTCTGAACCGTGACTTTGCGGGGGTCGACTGTGGTTCTAGTGTTATTGTGATGAGATTAATATTCATAATGTGGTGTTTTACTGCTGTACTGTTTGTAATATCCTATATATAGTTTGTATGTTCTATTTTTTTGCAGCTTGTTTACATGTGGCCTGTGTTGTTCAGCAGAAGGATGCTCGACAGTGGTTTGCAGAACTTTCTGTGGACATGGAAAAGGTGCTCCTTTTTCTTAATTTAAATCAGACAATTGCCCGAGCATCAAAAATATAGATGGATAAAGAAAAATATTCACTGGAGATGAGCCCTTCTCCTATAACTGAAGATGAAGGGCTTTCTGTCCCAAGCTTTAGTGTGCTAAGTACTTTAGGTTACATGACGCATTGTTTTCTTATATCTTTGCTTCTTTTATAAGATCTTAGAAATCATCAGAGTTATCTTGAAGTTGTATGAGCAGTGGAAGAATTTTGATGAGAGAAAGGAAATGGCTTCCATACTTGGTAAAATGCCTAAACCAAAGCCTCCACCTAACAGGTAAAGGAATTTCCATTTGTTCCCAAAGTAATTGCACACTGTCCTTTTTTTTGTTTTTGTAAATACAGTATAGGCAAATTTCTTGCTAATATTTGGGTGGTTAAACTCCATCATGAGTAGAATTCCGAGAGGTAAGTGGGATTTTGTTTAAAATAACAGTAGTTTACTGTATTTATCACTGGGGCTCAGGTGTCAATCCTGAAGACACGTTTACCTCAAGATCCTGTTGACCATGACGAGAAACAAAACGGAAATACTTTTATATACTCCCTTTCTTTATTGGATGGTAAATCAGAATGCCCACTCAGCTTTGTATATAGTATTGGTTATTATTGCTGGCATATTGCATGGCTGGATCTGTTGTCTGGCAGTTTATAGGTGCCAGTGTGGCTTTGGGTAATGTGTTAGCCAAGTGGTTAGCGTTTTCCTTTGGCAGCTCTGTGTCATAGATTTGAATGCTATTAGAGATATCATCTAAATACAGCTTGCTGCAGCTTCTCCCAATACTCCAAAAATATTCTGGCAGGTTGACTAGCAGCTCAACCACACTGGACCCAGAATGTGTATAATTTTGGTATGGACATTACGTTTTTAACATCTTCTAGGATAGAGATCTACGTGCGTAGCTCAGTGTGACTAGCTCTGTCTACCCTGAAATGCTCTGTATAATGAGTCCCTCCTGTATTTATAATCTAGCTGCTTCACAATATTATTTGCTTTATTGATGAGCACAATTTAGAATCAATACGTGTTGCCTTTTGCAGGAGTTGTGGGCCTCATTTGTGAGCTGCAATAATTGAAATGTTACCCTTGTATCAGAATCATTAGGAGTGAAAAAAAATCAACTTTTCTTGTTTCTAATTACTTCTTATATAGTTCAAAATAACTATACTTGTATTTCCACAGTAACGGACTAACAGGCTTTTATTCATTTGCAGTGAAGGGGAACAGGGACCAAACGGAAGCCAAAGCTCCAGTTACAATCAATCCTGAAACTTCTGTTTATCCAGTACTGGACCAAACTGGATCAAGATTTTGCCATAGTGATCATCCACAGACTTTATTGACTTAGTATTCTTAAGTGGGCTACTCAGCCTTTCTTCTCCAACTCAGGAGATATATTTTGGACCTTCACTGAGGTCTTATGATTATGGGTACACCCTTCATGAACCTCAAAGACAGCTCTCAAATGATTGCACATTGTTTTTCTTTTGCAGAGTAAGATGGAAGCAGTTTTCTGATTTAAAATAATCTGAATATAATTCTCAAATGTATTAAATGATGTTACAGTATGTTCATCTTCCTAATTGCTCACTTTTTTTTTTCACAGGAAGTTATTACCTGATATGCTGTTATTAGAGAAAGCCATGTGATCTATATTATGTCACGCAAGCAGTTTTCACTGTCATAGAATGTGTGAAAGATTGTATTTGTCTGTAGCATATGTATTCATATTGAGGGTACCCAAACTACTGTGATGGCTGCAATTATGCAGTGTGTTTTATACATTTCTAAATCGTATGTTTATTGTGTACCACAGATAGGTATACATTCATACAGTCCCAAAGGCTTGACCATACTATGGCTTATTTGTGGTGCTGTTGGTAAATGGGCCCATATGAATTTATGCCTGTAGATCTTCAACTACAGTCACAGTTTGGTCACAGCAAGGACGAAGGTATGCTCGAGGTGCAATCCTTAGGGCTGGTTCACACCAGCCACAGTGCGTTCCAGCCTGATTGGGGCCGGAACGCACTGGATCGCATTGTGGCTGGCTCACTTTGTGTTTCGGGCGGGAGGGAGCGTGGTGGTGCATTGAACTCAACAGTGCGATTGGCCGCATGGGAACATGTGGCAAATCAATGCCTGTGTTCCGGTCCAGTCAGAAACAATAGTGCTTGCAGCAATTTTTCTGACCGGACTGGAATGCAGACATTGATGTGCCATGCGTTCCAGTGCGGCCAATCGCACTGTAGAGGGAGGGTGTGGCTGCTGTGCAATTGAGTTCAATGCACCGCCATGCCCCCTCCCCAACACATAGTGAGCCAGCCGCAATGCGATCCAGTGCGTTCCGGCCTCAATTGGGCCGGAACGCACTGTGACTGGTGTGAACTAGCCCTTATATTGATTGTAATTAGGGAAGTGTCACTTGATTTTTACTTTGTACTGTCCTCCCCAGTCACAAGTTAGTATTTTAAATGTAATGTTTGCTCAATAGAAATTGTAAATAACCCATATTACTCTCAAAAATGTGTCCAGTAGTTTCTGATATTTTTCAGAGCTGGAGAGTTTGAGCTGTTCTAGAAATGTGAGAAAACACTGGGGTACAATATGTACTAGTCCCTGTATGATGAAGGACATAACACTGAGCCAGTCAATTATTAACACGCTTTTGATAGAATGAGATCTAAAGTACCACTCCATATATGAATATGTGAAGTTTTTTTTGTGTGTGTGACTTTACTGTTGCACATCTGAAAGCTGGCATTTATGGGCCTTTACTCACTGGTAAGTGTCGGGGTCTGTGCATAATACTGATTTTTCTTCTTTTCTCTTGTTCATTACATTACCTTGAAGATAAATCAGATGACCCTGCACGGAGCGCCGCACACCGGAGCAGCAGTGACGCTCGGCGAGGTAAGTAAGAAGACGCGCTGGCGCTGACTCGAGTATAAGCCGAGGGGGGCACTTTTCACCCAAAAAAATGGGCTGAAAATCTCGGCTTATACTCGAGTATATACGGTAATAGAGTGGTTTTATCAGAAAGAGAAACATGGTACCATTTTCAGCAGACTGGGAACATGTTTTTCTTTTTCTCCTTATGAAGCGTTAAAATAAAAATTTTTGTATTGTAAGCACAATAATATAGTATCTCTTATTTGTCATATGATTGAGTTTTTTTTATTCTGTAATGATTAGGGTGGATTGCAAATAAATATGCTTCTAATGGCAGTTCAGGTTCAGAAGTAAACTCCTTTTGGTTGAGCACATGCATGGGATGCAGGAGGTGCGTAAGTTTTGTATTCCCTAGTAGGGGGTACTTTCTTTTTCTTTCATGTCCATTGAGGGACACAGGATTGTAGTAATACTTGGACATATGGGTTCTGCTAATGTCTTCAGGAGGTTTGGATACTGACAAACAAAAGCTCATATAACCCCTCCTCCAGCCATCATGCCTCAGTGTACATATTTCCAAATCATTAGGCTCTCCACACTCTAGGACTTATGTCCTCTTGTGTTGCCTGAATTCTACCTTAGAGTACACCCCTACTCCTTTTTGACTGTGGAGTCTTTTTGATCATTAGCATCAGTGCATTCCTTATAGTGCTTAGTCCTCCTAAGTCCTGTCCCCTTTAAAAAAAGGTCCTTTCGAGGTGAACAAACCGTTTTCTGCTGTTGAGTTCTCCGGGAGATCTTGGGACTGTGCTCCTAGATTTTCCATTATAGAATGCTTAAAACATTTTAACTAAAACCTGGCTGCATTCATTTTCCTACTCTTGGATTCTGGTATTATGGAACAGACCGCTTCCCAAGTTGTAAAGCAATCTCTAAATTCTTCTCGCTACAATTCAACAGTTTTCAATATCCTTATTTCTAGAGGAAATGTAATACTTTAACTGTCATTGACCGATGCGAGTATTCTTATGCTGGGCAGCATTGGTGTCTACACAATTTCCATGCTAAATTTAATGTCCTGTTTTGGATCCCTGAATCTTTATTTTCCCTCCTTTTTATATGGGAGTTCTGCTCACGAATGCATCTTCATATCCTTCCTCACAAGGAAATTGCCATTTTTTTTTGTTTTCTGTTCTTCACTAGAAGATCGATCAAAAGTTACAGGACCCTGTTACCTGACTGCAGACTTCCCCTATCTGGGAAACTATAAGTCCAGAGAACCTTATGGTACTTATTTGTTGGTAGAAAAATCTGTCGTCTTTGTTTCAGACTGATTATTTTTGCACAGCTTGCACTTTGAATATCACACTTCTGTACTATTTGTTGGATTGTCTCATTCTTTTCATTCTGAGGTCCCTGTGAGTCCATCTTGTTACAATATATTCTCACTTCACCTTCTCTTTTTCCAACATTCCTTTCCCCGAGGTCAAGGTTTTGGTATCCTTTGCCTATGCCTTAGAGCAGTGGTGCTCAACCTGTTTAGCCTCAGGACCCACATTTGTCCTTGGCCATTAAGTCGCGACCCAAGTTGCACTGCAATGGAACGCACAGCAATAGGGTACTGCACGTTCTGATGAAGGCGTACGAATTGTGGGGGGTGCGTTTTGGGGTAACATTCACATGAATGGCAATGCAACACACCTCCCACACCAGAATGCATGATAGGTGCGATTGCGTGGTACAATTTATGCACTGCACTAGTGTAAACAGGCCCTCAAAAACACTTGCATACACACACACACTCCAAAAATGTTGAAATTTTTTTTAAGGTCCTCCCAGTCTCTCTACCTTACGAGAACTGGAGTGGATCCTCCTTGGTGTATTTTCTTGTTGGAACCAACTTCCATATTTGCTTCCCTTTTTTCAGCAAGGCTTCTTTTAGGCAATGATTTTTTCAGATATTCACCTAATATGATTTCTTCATCTGTTAGATTTCTTAGTGGCTGTTGCTCGCCCCTCAGTTGGATTAATTTCGGGATGTCCATATGTCTAAGACATACTACAATGCTGTGCCCCTAAATGTATAATAAAGAAAATATGATTTTTGTAGTTAACGTAAAATCTTTTTTTTTAAGTCCATTGAGGAACATAGGTCTTGCCCCACTGTGTTGTTGGCCTTTTGTACTGCTTGGTCACAAACTGAGGTATGACAGATGCCAGTGTCCATACTTTCTGAAGGTCGAAGTATAACTTAATGTCCAAGAATTACTACAATTGTGTCCCTCAGTGGACTTTATGAGAAGTACAAAAATCTTATTATTTTCTGTACTATTGCTTTAGATAGTATGTAGTATGCTATGCCGTGGGTCAGCAACCTCATAATAGGAGTGTGATATCTGATCTTTCTACTCTGTGCCTGTTGCTGCTGAAGCATTCCATAAACCAGAACATACTTGGACTGCTCAGCCTACAGAAGATATTTGAAGCCTCTTTTGGTAAGGCAGGGTCTTTGTTTACAGCTGTGTATTCCTGTAGCTTGGAAATAAGTCAAAACCTCATACAGTGAGTGGTCTAGAAAATAAAACCCCACACGAAAAAGGTATTTAACTTTGAGGTAACCAAGTGTCAATTGCAAACATACTGTAGTTGCAAAGGTGTCATGTTGGATTGATTACCAATTAGCAGTATGTAAATGATGTATCAACACTTGGAATGTGAGTTTATAATGTAAAATAGTCTTTACCTGAACTATAGAAAAAAAAAAAGTAAACTGCAATTGAGTCTCAATCAGGTGGGCAATCTGCATCACCAAAGAGGAACAATATTCACAAGTTTCAGCTTACCAGCAGGGATGGATAGAACATTTAAAGCAGAACTCCAGGTTTAAAAAAAAAACCCATTGCCCAGTAGTAGTATTAAAAAAAAAGAAGCTTTTGCGGCTATATTCACCCCCAGTTTGGCGCTGTCCCCTGCTGTGAGGTGGTATTCTGGGTTGAATGAATGTCTGCATCATTTAATGCACTTCCTGCAAGCCGAGTCAGTCAAGGTTACAGCCTCCTAGGTATGTGTCATTATGTTGGCCTGGGTTCTCGGAACTGCAGCACAGCACGGTGCTCACGCGAAATGATGAAAGCACTGCTCACTGCAAGAGTAAGGACCGCCGATGCTGGTGAAGGAGTAAAGCACCTGTTACATCATGTAACTAGCAAGAAGACTGAAGGAGATGAGGTACGCATAATTTTATCTTTTGAAAAAATAGGTGCATGGGGGTGGGTTCACGTGGAGCTGGGCTTTAATGCACAACATTCTGCAAAGCAGAGCTAAGCAGCTAATTTAAATTAATAATGGTTTGCTTGATGTTAAAGCTATGATGAAAAGAAACAAAACTGCAATGTGGTCAGTACAACTATGCTTAGCAGATACAAGAACTTACTTGGAAAACTGGCATCTTTACCTGTATGGGCAAAGCATTGGATCATGTTTGCGGAGGAAGGGTGTGATTCTTTCAGCCTCATATTTAACTTTAGCTTCTCTGTAAACAGGTTTTTTTTTCTCCAGCAAACCCCGGCAATCATGAAAGACAGCATAGAGCCCTCTTTTATTCACATTTATAGGTATAAGGAAAAACATAGCTGCTATAGGCAGTGATTACACACCAAATGAAGATTGCTTTTCTGGCTGAAAGGTAGCCATGCATGGACATGAACAATTGTTGGTCATCCAGCATTGCTTGTAAGGGTTAGGGCCTGCTCACACCAGTGTGTTGTGGTAACGCACATGCGTTTTATGGGCAGGACACATGGGTTGCTATAAGAATCCCATTCATTTTTTAATGGGCCACAACGGAAGATGCTGCATGCCACAATTTTCTTAATGCAACACAGATCATTTACATCTGTGTGCTATGGTATGCTACAACACAATTGCTGCGTTGTGTTAGTCCGTTGGGTTGCTATTTCAAATTAATAGCTATGCAAAGCAGTGCACTGTGGTACATGTGTTACATAGT